CCCCCCCCGCATACGCGCTCCCGGAAAAATGACTGACCCCCCCCCGTGTCGTCCCCACAGCACCGACTGCAAGGGCAACAAGTACCAGCAGGGCGAGGAGCCGGCCTTCAGCCTCGACCAATGCGGCTTCTGCACGGCCGGCGGCCAGACCCACACCGATTGCCAGCGCGACTGCAAGAACCAATACTACCGCCAGGACACCGAGGAGCCGGCCAACCTGACCGACCCATGCGGCAACTGCATGCCCGGCTATGCTCCCAGCCCCGGCAAGTGGGCCGCCCGCGTGCATGAGAAATGCCAGAAGGACTGCGCCGGGGCCTACTTCATGGAAGGCAAGACCGCGCCCGAGAATGAGGTCGACGCCTGCGGGACCTGCCATCGTGTGGCCCCGGGCCCCGGTGGGCAGGGACCACCCCCGGCCCCGGCATGTGTCTGGGACTCCTGCCGCGAAGTGTACACCTCGGATCCCAAGAGCGTGGTGGCGCGCGATGAGTGCGGCGTCTGTGGCGGCACCAATGCCGACAAGAATGAATGCGGCAAGTGCAATGGCGTCCGCGGGAAGGACCCCTGCGGCCAGCTGCTGTGCAGCCTGGAGGATCGAAACACCTGTCCCCCGGGGTCGGACAAGTGCCAGTGTCTGGTCGACTGCGCCGGGGACCATTACCTGGCCCCGGCCGGGGCGCGCCATCGTCTGGACGAGTGCGGGCTCTGCTTCGACGCCCGGCCAGCCGGTGGAGCGGCCGGCTCGGCGGCGCCCGAGCGTCATGCCCGCTGCAAGCGCGACTGCGCTGGCATTTGGTTTGCCGCCGAGAAGGCCGACGCCAATCCCAACACCCCGGAGAGCGGCGCCCAGCACTGGGTCGACCCATGCGGCAAGTGCATGCCGGCCCAGCCGAAGCAGGAGTACTCCTGCCAGAAGGACTGCGCCGGGACCTGGGGCGGAGCGGCCTTCGTGGACAAGTGCGGCCGCTGCCGGCTCAGCGACTCGGAGGAGCCGTGGTGTGTGCAGGATTGCGCCGGGGCCCATCACCTGTCCAACACCAAGCCCAAGAGCGAGCGCGACGATTGCGGCGTCTGCCGGCTGGTCGGCTCGGCCGAGTGGAACGCCGACCTGGACCCCTGCGGCCTGTGTCGCATTACCCCGGGCTACAACTCGGAGGAGTCCTGCACGGCCGATTGCAGTGGCAAGTACTTGCTGGTGACGGATGCCCGCCGTGCGGCGGTGGACTTCTGCGGCGAGTGCCACCAGGCCGCGGACTTGAGCAACTTCAACCGGAACTCCGACCGGTGTGGCATCTGCCACTCCAGCCCGGATGACCCGAAGTTCAATGCCCAGCTGGTGATGGCCGAGGGCCGCGAGTGCGGGTGCCTCTCCTCGCCGGAGGAGGACCCCTACGAGGCCGGGCTCCTGGTTCGGTGCCATGACCTCTACACGGACACCTCCTTCGAGGCCTGCCACCAGTGCCCGGAGACCAATGCCTGCGATGTGACCAAGGACGGCACGGTGCGCGAGCGTGACCGCTGTGGCCGGTGCCCGGGTGACGTGGTCCTGGCCGGTGTCGACCAGTACGAGCTTTTCGACGAGTGCGGCATGTGCTGCAACAGCCTGGGCGACGAATCGCCGGCGGCCGCTGCCGCCTCCGGCCTGGTGGCCGCCTCCACCGGGACATATGTCTGCAACCAGGACCTGAGCCCCTGTGGAACGGGCGAGTGCTTCAAGCTCGAGACCCTCGACTCGTGCGGCTTCTGTGTGCCGACCGATTGGGATGGCAAGTGGGAGGAGAGCGAGGCCTGCCTGCCGGATTGCAGTGGGCGCTTCGGCGGGGACATGGTCCTGACCGATTGCGGCCAGTGCATCCCGGCCGCCGATGTCGAGGCCAACCGGGAGATCTGCATGCAGGATTGCGGCGGCAATTGGTTCCTGGCCGACCAGCAGAACCCGCCGATGGTGGTGGACTCGTGCGATCAGTGTGTCCGCCCGGAGGACGCCTGCTCGAACCTCGGCACCGGGGCCATTGTCGGCATCGCCGTCGGCGCGGTGGCCGCCGCCGGGCTGGTGGCCGCCGGAGCCGTCTTCGCCGTCAAGTACGCCGCCAAGAATGGCCTCCTGGCAAGCAGCAAGCAGGCGGCCGATCTGGGCGGCACCGACAACAACAATCCCCTGTTCACGTCGCGCACCACGACCGCCGACAACCCGCTGTTCGCGGCGCCCACCTCCTAGGGCGCGTGAGCCATCTGTCTCCTCTCACACTCGCCCGGTGTATCCTTCTCTCCCTCTGGGGGATCCCTTTAGTCCTTCCTCGCGCCAGATCTCTTTGTTACGTTGCTCGGAGAAATCCCTTCTTCCTCGGTTGGCGGGCGGTCTGCCGCGTGCTGCTGTGCCCGGCCATATCCTGGGCGCGGCGCCGGCCGGCCGGCCGACCGAGGAGAGATTTAGACCCCTTGCGTGTCTCGGCAAGGAAGAGGGACAGAGAGCGCAAGAGCGAGGAGACAGAAGGAGGAAGAACTGGGCTGTGCGTGGGAAAGGGGAAAAACAGCTGCCCTTGTCCGGAAACGAAGAGCAAATTCGACAATCCCAAATAAATCTTTACATAGAAAAAGAAGTGCACCTTGCTCGGGGGGGGGGGGGGGGGGG